TTATCAATATCTATCTATCTATCTATCTATCTGTCTATCTGTCTGTCTCTCTCTCTCTCTCTCTCTATATATATATATATATATATATATATATGAAAATATATAGAAAATAGGAAGGAACTGGTTAGGTAAATAATCCAAAGTCCCTTAGTATTTTAGTTATTATTTTTAAAAATAGTGCTCAATACAAAAGTAGAGCATAAATATAATTATTTATTTAAAAAATATGATTCCAAATCGCTACATAAGAGGTCTCATGTTTCAAATCAAGAGCCGAAAACTTCAATATAATCCTTTAAATTAAATTGAGTTGAAAGTAAAATGGGCTCCGTTCCATCTTCAAGCGAAATTTTTGTTGGAATAACGTATATCTGAAATTTACTTGTTTTAAAATTGAAATCAAAATCCCCATGGTAACAGCTATGGTGAATTGTCTAAATTGGGTAGGCGAGTGTAGGGTGTTTATAATAAGTAGCGGTATAGAGATACTTTCAAGGTGTCAAGTCGGGGAAAGGTGGGGTGTCAAAAATGAAACGGAAGATGTATTGGCCATCGTCTAGTTTGCTTGTCTATGGAGATTTATTTATTTATTTTATTTTATTTTATTATGAAAGGAATTGTGCATATAAAAAAAAAAAACTTTCGTAACGATTGTTTTTTTGACGACTTCATAAAGGGTTATCTTATATGTAAGGTATTTAAACTACTAATTTGAGGCTATGGATTATGAAGTGTGTTATGTTGTATGCATGTTTTTAGTTAATTATTCCTACTATGAATCTGATGATTGGGCTATTTGTTAAACAATTTATATAAATTTTTTATCTAATAATTCAAACCAAAAATCTGATGATGCCTACAAAAACCGTTAACTCGTGTCTATTATTTAATAGATTATTATTATTTAGAAGTTTAATAATGTGCAATTTTCATGGAGGCACAAAGGGCATGGGTCAGCCCAAGCTTTACATATTCTAGCCTTGTCAATAATTTTCCATTTAACTTTTGGTGTCTTATTTGTTTCCTTCAGGTGCCAAAAATATTTTGATAGTGAAGTCTGATTTCGTTTGTTTATATTATTAAAGGAGCACTTATGCTGCCCCCATCTATCTTTAAAATTATTCTTCGTGGACCCAATGTATATCATATTAGTGCTAGGGCTCTCTGTGGATGAAATAGTACATTGGTATACCACAGAATTAATACAACATTTATTTTCTAATGGGCAGTCTTCTGGGTTTCTACAGTTACATAATTTTTCCCTTTTATCGTCTGATTTAAGTGCAGAGTTTTTATTAATATTGTTTTGGCATGGGTGTTTGTTCAAGATCTTATTATTGTGTTTTTTTATTATGCGTTCAAGATTATCAGAGCAGCTGTAGCTCAATTTTAGGGTGTTCTTATTGAATATATTACTAAATTTACTATTGGTGGGGAAGTGTTTATTAATTAGAACTAAAATTTCTGTCCTAGTTTAATACTAACCCTTTGGTTGAACGGAGGGTGTACCAAATGATATTTCTTTTCCTGTTTTTTTTTCCTATGTCCAGTGTAATTTTCTCTGTAGTTAATGTTAATTTATATATATATATTATATATATATATATATATATATATATATATATATATATTATATATATATATATATATATATATATATAAACATTTTTAAAAAAATTCAATATCCCTACTATCTTTCGTCTGTGCGCCTGTATAGTTCCATCAACGTAAACAAACTTATTCCGGTCATGTCCTAAAGGACGAAAACACATCACATCCTTCCTCCAACATATCTATCTATCTATCTATATATATATATATATATATATATATATATATATATATATATATATATATATGTGTGTGTGTGTGTGTGTGTATATTGATAATATTTGTAATCGGTATGGATATTTCCAAAAATATATAGATACAGATAGAGCTCTATGTCAAATTCAGAGAAATAACAATGATCTTTAAAAAAAAATGAACTCTTAAAAGACAATGAGGTGATATTTATTTCGTTAAGGTCGCAAAATTCGACCCCCAACTCTTCAGACCTCGTTACACAGCGATATCACAATTCTTTGTGTAACAAGGTTTGGCGTGTTGCGGTCGAATTTTCCGATCTTTACGAAATAAATATCACCTCATTGTATTCAGTTCGTTTTCTATATATATATATATATATATATATATATATATATATATATATATATATATATACATAGAGAGAAAAAAGAAAGATCAAGAAATGCAAAATATATCATGGCATTGCCTCACTATTCTCTATCCTAATTAAATTTTGAAAACCATAGAACTGTGGAACCGGTAAAGATAATCTAAATATTCGTAGACGTCAGTTACTTTTTCTATATTTTTAATTGTGTAGGATATATAAGAAAAGAATAATTCATATATATATATATATATATATATATATATATATATATATATATATATATATATATTATATATATATATATATTTATATATATATAAA